TCTCTCCCTCTCCCTCTCTCTCCCTCTCTCTCCCTCTCTCCCTCTCCCTCTCTCTCTCCCTCTCTCTCTTCCCCTCTTTCTCTCTCTGTTTCTCTCTCTCCTTCTCTCAGATACATACACACATTAGCAGCCGCTCACACATACGCCGTACTATACGCCCACTTAATCCCTCTTAATCGTCCACACTCGCCCATTCTCGCCGTCTCATACTCGCACTCACACTGTCCTATAGGCACAGCTGCCTGAATTCCTCACGCCACGCCATTCCTCGCCCTGCCGTATCTAATACCGAAGCCTATTTAGGTCTTTTATGTGCGCATATCGTACTTGGGGTTTATTACAGCAAAAAACAATTTAGAAAATCTTTGGAGCCATTTTGACAACAAAAACACATTTTTTTATATATTGCCCTTACTTCGAAGAAAAATTACGCAAACCACTCGTAATTTCGGGAAGAAAGTACACGACCGTATTTAAATGTCTGTCTTTGGACAATACTTTTCGATGAAGGAGAACTGTACCTGTCATATTGTAGACATAGGAAGACGCCGAAAAACTCGTAAACTTTTGCAATTTTCGTATACGAGGCCTGCGCCATTACGGAAGGATCTTTTGCTCTATGCGCGGAAAAATGAATTTAAAAAATTGCAATTTTGTAAGAACATTTTGAAAATGTTAAGGTAAAATACCTTCATACATCAAAATATCTGTTTTAAATTCTAAGTGCCTCAATTTCGGCCAGATCGGTCGGGAAATATCAATTTTGTAGAAAATCCTATGTACTGCTTAGGCGCTAGTATTAGCCACAGACATTCTGCCGCAAATCAATTTTTCGGTATCAAGGACCCACAGAACTTGGATTCTACACACCTGTTACATGAAGTTATTTACTATCTATGGCAAGGAGATTTATTCCCTTTTCGATGTCAGGACTGCACAATACGAGTTTTTCTGACAAAAAATCGCCACTTTCCCCTGTCAGCATTATAACAGTTTCTCTTTTTACTACGTATGTACCATGTGAGAAAGTGGAACAATTTGAATTATATAAATACATTTGTTACACACCAACAAGTCCACATCATGGTAGACATTTACTCTGCAGAACATTATTATTATTATTATTATTATTATTATTATTATTATTATTATTATTATTATTATTATTATGTAATTATGAATACATTAATTGGCATTTACTCCATGTGACGTGGGAGGATGTGCGAAGGCGTCGGCTGCGTTAGCCCCGAGTGTCGCTCTGCCCTCAGCCGCCGCAGGCGTCCGACCTGTGCACCGTGTGCTACACGTCAGGCACCACGGGCAACCCCAAGGGCGTGATGCTGACGCACGAGAACGTGATCGCGTCCGTGTGCTCGGTGCTGCTGCAGCTCGGCGACCACAAGCCCACCCGCAGCGACGTCATGATCTCCTTCCTGCCACTCGCGCACATGCTCGAGCGCTGTTGCGAGGTGAGTGGGGGTGGTTTCTTTGATTAATCGCGCGGAGAGGGCTACGAAGTGCAGACAGAATCTGCAACATTACCGAAGACGACGCCCAGAAGCGTCTAAGGAATTTATGAAAAACGGTTTGGGAAGCGGATGAAAACATTTTTTTTATCAAGAAACTATTCATTCGTTCAGATTTTAGGACTTCTAATAGTTAAATTGATATTTATTCAGTGAAACCGTTCAATATTCACTGGATATTTTTAAATTGAAAGTTGTTCTAATTAGTCAGGGGCCCACTGTCTTGCCCTTTTCACCACGCAGCGTTTCCCCGATCCCAAAAAATCCGTCTCATCAGCGGCCAGCCCCCTTCATTTCTGTTATTGTCCTGACAGATCTCATAAGCCCCGGGTTTAATTCAACTTTGGAATTTTGGACTTTCGGTGACGATCCGGTATCCTGAAAGAAAGTACGGAACTATCTGAATGTGATAATAACTAATGTAGAATTTAAGCCAAATGGTAGCCTTGGTACGCCGACCAGTGATGACTCTCTTTCTGACCTGGGGCGCTGAACTAGGCAGAATTTCCGGCAGATATTGGAAACACGAGACGAAATTATAATGTTCCTTAGGATTGGAAGAGTCGTTATTTTCCAATCGTAATTTATGAGTACCGTAATTTCCGTGTATATTAGCAAAAAATAGTTATCATTCCAATAGGAAATTCGTTTCAACAATGTCGGTATTATTTACGACATACACATGACGTAGACGCCTACTTAATATTCGATAATAACGTTTCTTCTTCCTGTTATAAGTTACCGACGATGTTACATTTCTCTATTTCACTCTTACTATGTTGTATCGTTTCCAGGGCCTCTCAGAAAAAACAAGATTCTGGAACAGTGGATCCACGAGGACCTCTGATTTCAATCTAAAGTTCGCCCCCTCCCCATTAATAAACAAAACTGATTTCCCTATGAAACATAACTAATTTATAGCAGTTGATTGAATTAGAAATAAATATATGTTTATTTATTTTAAATTTAAAAAAATGTCGGGGCACCAATGAAGACGGGGCAGGGACATGTTTTAGCTGCTCCCAATCTAATGTCCTACTCATCATATCTGCACTGCCAATATTGTGTACCAATAGCGCGGCGTTCGCTCATTGGTAGATGTGCCGATGACAAAACAAAATTATAAAAATAATTCGTTTTAAGTATTTTAGAGAAGAATTAAATATTAGGAAAAATCTACAGATATTTTAATGGTAATCGCACAAAACAACTGAAAAGTAGCCATGAAGCACTCATGTTAATATTTTGTGAAAAAACATTGCTGAGTTAAGTTTATAGTAATCATAGTATGGTTTATCTGCAATCTTTAATGTTTCTTAATTTGAATGTTACAGAATGGAATGTACATGGTGGGTGGCTCAGTAGGTTTCTTTACTGGGGACATCAAGAGATTGCCAGATGATATGAAAGCTTTACGACCAACTGTAATGCCAGCTGTGCCTCGTTTGCTGAATCGCATGTATGATAAAGTGATGTCTGAAGTGTCTGGTTCTTTCATCAAGAGAGTTCTTTATAACATGGCGTACAGTGCGAAGGAAAGTGAACTTAAAAGGTGAGAATAATTATTTGTATTAACATTCCATTTACTCGTATAATATTGTATTGATGAACAGTGGCAGCTGGTGCCCCAACAACCTGCAGCTGCGTCGGATGACGGGAATGTAATTTCCAAAATTTAGAACACTAATATATAACGTAATAAAAGTATGCAATTCATGTAACTTAATTAAAACTCATTTTGATAAGACTACATATAAACATTGCTTACATAATTTTATGCATAATGTCTGTATCAGGTGTGATCTCCTCCCGCGCACTTGGTTCTTGCTTTTATTTCCAATGAGCACATGAGTATTTGAATTAGTTCTGCATGGAAACAATTGTCGGAAATAGAATCCATGAAATACAAAAAGGAACTAGTTTTCGTAAATAAGAGGATCGCACTCCAACACTTTGCGCACAATCGCACTCAAGCACTATTGTTTGGACGCGTTTTACACTAGTTCATTTCATGATCTTGGTTGTTATTCCTGGTACTTGTGGTGATTATACCGAATATTTTTTTCTTTCAAAAATGTTTCACTACTCTGGTATACACATGGAATAAGGTATACATAATGGAAGATCTGTATTTTTTCAGGAATGTGTTCTCTCCTAAAGTGAAATTCGTATTAACATATTCAGAACTTTACTTGTTAATAATGAGATTACAATAATTATTATTTCAAAATGTGAAGTAAGTTTTTTAGTTTAATTTATATATTAACACACCACGTTTATTAAAGTTAATCTCTCATTTTTATTTGAAGAAGAAATCCATACACTTCTCTTTCACAAATTTTTCAATCTCTCTCTCTGATTAAAGTTATGAGATTCCTCTCTATTCACAATATATCCAATGCAGAAATCTGTCTTGTGCATTTTGTTTCTTAGAAACGTCTTTATACATTTGAGGATCGAAAAACATCTCTCAGATTCAGAAGTGGCCATTGGAATAGGATTTAATAGTGTGATGGCTTCACCGGGACTTTGGCTTTTTGAAAAAATGATAGAAACTAAGTGTGTGTGATAACCTGCTGAATTTCTCGGCCCAGTAAATTACTTCAAGCTCCACGAGAATTTTTAAAAGCTCAAAAACTTGTAAGATTCACAAACAATTTTTAATGTTTCTTCTGAAAATTTAGAATCGTTAACTGAAATATTTTCCGACATGAACATAGAAGAAGCAGTGAAAATTACCAGTGAAACTAAATCTTTCTTTCATTTGAAAATTAATTACATCACATACTTCCTTTGCTTTTCACATCCATTCATTGTTTTTAGTCTTCCTTTTCTCTGAAGATGAAGATTGTGATAGACGTCGGTGGTTAAATATTGTTTCATTGTCATTCCTAAGTTATGTCATATTTTGTTCAAAGTTCAGAAGTCTGCAACGACTGTAAGCTCAACTTCTACTTTCTGAAGTTGCCCATATTAATCAACAAGGGGCACAACTTTCCGAAATGAAAGCGAAAACATTAATTTTTTAATTCTCAATATTTTTAAATGACCGGCGGTTTTTAATGTCATCTAACTGTAAAAATGTTTTCATGCATTGAATCAGGGCTTGCGTGTGGTAAAAAATTGTGACTTTTTTCAACTGAAAATTCTACCTAATGGGAACGGATTTAGGCAACTGCTTCTTTACTATTTCATCTAATACTGATATACTCTAGGTTGTTTGGAAAAAAATGTGCCTATGCCACGAACAC